CAAAAACATGGCTTTAGATGGGGGTGAAATTAAAATTAAATTTTAAGATATTTCAACAGTAGAAATTAAATTCAACTGTTGAAACTGAAATTATTTTTAGTAGTTAAAATTAATTCAACTGTTGAAACTGAAATTATTTTTAGTAGTTAAAATTAATTCAACAGTTGAAATTAATTCAACAGTTGAATTAATTCAACAGTTGAAATTGATTTAATTGCTATTAAAATTAATGCAACGGTTGAAATTAATTTAAACATTGAAATTAATTTAATTGGTGAAATTAATTAAATAGTTGAAATAAAAATTAAAAAAATTATAATAAAAAACTATATATAGATTACACTTTACTTTTAATTACTACTTATAATTAAGCCCAGAGCATAAAACCTATTGTAAAATGCCGGAGATTTCCATCTACATAAGACAATTTCCACCTCGACTTTTCAACAGACGAAAAATTTTTGATGGAAATGTTAGATTATTTAGGGACTTTGCAGTAGAAAAGGCCTAAATGCTATATATATTATATATAACATTTAGGCCCTTTCTCCTGCAAAGTCCCTATTTATAATTTATAAATGATTTATAATTAAATACAATAATTATTACGGTTTCATAAACGATCCATAAGGGGATTATACGTAACTACGTAACAGTGTTGGCAATTAGGCGAATTTGGATATATAAAATTTTATTTGGACATATAAAATTTTATACGTATGTCCATATGTCCATGTCCAAACGAAGTTTTTATTGGGCATAGTCCAAATGCCAACACTGATAGCTAAGGCAAGCAATTGACCAATCAATTATATCACATGCGTGCAGTGTTTCTTGTTAGAAAAATCAAGGAGCTAGAACTTATGCTACATATGATTTCTCACATTTTAGCGATAGTATAAAAGAAAGTAAAAAAAAATTCTTTCATTTTTTTCAATCGAAAATAATAATTTTTTTTACCTTAGGCCATTCAAACTTAATAAATCGGTTCTCATAACATAAAATTTTTGAAAGTGACCCAGCAACCCGACTTTTAATTTTATTTTCAAAAATTTTTATATATCAAAAACATATAAAATTTTTTTAGAAAACCCACCCGGATAGTAAATATACTTAAAAATTTTTTTTTGAAGTTTTGTAAATTTGACCCGGCCGGGTTATGAGAACCGATTTATTAAGTTTGTATGGCCTTATCTTTGTAACAAACGTATGAATTAAAAAAGAGAGCAGTTTATGAAAGTGCTATTCATAAGGGAAAGATACGTAATGCACGCAGTATATCAAAATCTACCTCTCCACCTTCATGATATTGTACCGATAAAAATTATATCAAATCAGGTGAATAGGCAAGATTAATTAAAACTTTATGAAAGAGATATATAATATACATTCAGTGTTGTTAATTTTTGCTTCCAGTGGGAATTTCTAATAGTAAAGGTTCCAGTGCCTATGAGCATACCCCATGCCCCTGTGCCCCGAACCCTATGTGTGATACGTATTTATTTGTGCTTTGAATCATCAAAAATATTTGCGACGCGTCTTGCTCTGACTTCAGTTAAGCAGTTAAGTTTAGTTTTATATTATGTAAATTTTTGCAAACCCAATATTTCCCTGGCATGTAATTCTGCTGGAGGTCGCTTGCTTTGGTGTTGTCGGCGAAATATTATAACTTTTGGAAGTTATGGAAAGATTCTGGTACTTCCAGCATTTTCCTGGCCTGTAATTCCATTGGAGGTCGCTCGCTTTGGTGTTGTCGGCGAAATGAATGCATCAAAATCATTTGGAATGCATTGATCTTACCATAACTGAAAATAGTTGGGTTGAAAAAAAAGGAAATATTCTAATAATTATTATGAACTTTTTACTGACCATATAATAATAACCATCCAATTCGCTTTTAGATGTCGAAGGCATGCATCATTTTTTTTAATCAATTATTGTTGAATTAGTTTATAGAGGACCCCGGACATATAGTACAGGGGTCATACGTTATGCATTTCAGCAAAAACACCCGAAATTTAGAAATTAAAAAATCAGTTTTTTATAATTATCTTAGCATCCAGTGGTCCAATTTGGATGAACTTTTTTTTAAATGAAAGCTCTCAGTGAGGCGCATCTAACAAAAAAAAAGTTCATTCAATTCTGATCACTGGATCAAAAGTTATTTAAGAAAATGTAGTTTTATAGTTTTCAGCAAATTCAGTCAAATTTGGCCAAAACTCAGTTATGATCTATATCAGAGATGTCCAGGGTCCTGTTTATAGTATTAATTATTATTCTATTTTAATTTATAGGATCACATTTACATCTTAAAAGAAGTTATTTCACAGGGTTTTACAGCTAGCAAATATTTTAAAAAATTAGGATATTAATTTTCTCAAAAAGATTAAGCTGAAGAGGATTTGTGGAAAACATTAAATGAATTTTTTTCTATGAGTGATGATAAACACTCTAGACAAGCAGAAAGCCTTTCAAATATGATTGACCAACATTTGAGTTCTTCTACCATAGAACAATATTGAAATAGTACTAAGATATAGGAGGAACAAAACATAACTCATATTAATCAAATAATTGTGGAAGAGAAAAAAGTTAGTATTTACAATTGTGTTGTGGGTTATAATTGATATTTTATTAATTTTGAATTATTTAGAAACAACATAAGTATCTCATTGATTATAATGTTATAACTGAGTATAACATATCAAGTAATAAATTGATATCAAAATTTCAAGAAAAGGTTAATTTTCTGACGATACAGTTTTTTTTTTCTAATCTTATGCCAATACCATTTATATCATCAGAATGAAGCTGTCACACCTTGAAAAAAATGAATAACTTGTGATTTTTATAATGAGAGGATGTTTAAAAAACCAAATAACAATAATTATACTTCACCTTTACTATTCAATGTTGTGTTAAAAGGATACTCTCTAATTAATAATTTATTTATTGATAAGGATAAAGGTAGTTTAGTAGTTGATAATATTGGTGATTTTTGCTTCAAGAGAAATGAATATTCACATGATTATAAAACAAGAGACATCAATATGTCTTAGCTATTCTGATAATATCAAAATGAGTTGATTAAAATTTTAAAAAATAGTGGCTTAACTATAGAATCTAATGTTTATAAAATTTTGTCTTTATCATTAATTTTTTTATTAATTTCCAGATCATATTCAAAAACAATGATTAAAACATTTGGTTTACAATTACTTGATGAAATACATCAACAAACTATCCCAACTCAGAGCATAAAACTTAATTCAGAATGCAAATTAAAATTTCAGAAATTAGTTAAGAAAGCAAAGAACTCTCGTGAATGTACTATCGATTGGTTTCTCAGAGAGCTTATAAATGATCAACATATGAAAGAAAATTTAGGCTATATAATTTTGAAAGGTCTAAAAACATTGTCTAGTGAGAAAATTAAAAATGAACCTAGTAAAATGATATTAATTACAAATTATCTAAATTATATAATAAAAGATACATTCCATCACCCAGATAAGCATATCGTCTAATGGCCTAATACAGCTCTAAATGAAAGTAAATCAAGAAAATTTGAAAGACAAAGCAAGCAACCAGACTTTGTTGTTTCAGTTATTTACCAACTTCAAACAGAATCTGTTATATTTGTAGATAAAGTTAATTTGCTATTACAAAAAAACAATATATACAAAAACTATAATGATCTTATTCAAATTAGTATATTTATGAAGGATTGTTTAGATTTTTTGATAGATAAAGGTGCTAATATTAACATAATTGGTTTTCAATATATAGGTAAGCAAATTAGTATAAGGTATATTTTTAGTAACAAATTGCTTTAATCACTTTTATAGATTATACGATTGACTTCTATATGTTAGATTTTAAAAAAAATATATATTTTATACTTCACATTAGCCAAATAAGAGTACCGGAGTTAATAAAAGAGATTATTATTTGTTAATGAACTAAAGACACTTTTGATAGTTCAAAAAATTTTTCAAAAAATATATAATATAATATATAGTAAGCTTTGCAATCCAGAGTTGTTGCTATCAAATAATACAGAATTCAAACATGATACTCTTGATACTTCAAAATTTAAGCAACTTGTAAACAAAACACATAATTATAATCGAATATGCCTCTTCTAGTATAGTTGTTTCTAAATATACTTATTTTTAATATATTAATACTTATCAATTATAAACAAATTTATGATAATAAAAAATAAGCAGTTTTAATGTTTTAACTCTTTCTGACAATCCCTTGATTAACAACAAAAAATTAAACTATAGTAAAAAGTTATAGAAAAGTGACAAAGTGGATACTACAATACTCCTGCTACATACTTACATACTTGCTATCGATGAAGCTTATATACATGAAACACTGAGAAGCAGGCATATAACAAAAAGCGAGTCTGGTATTTTGGGTCAAGCTTCTTTTCTACGAACTGTTGTCGACAAAGTTTTTAAATATGATACACTAAGACGCAGACATTGTGGACGGTTTGTACAGAGATCAAACCTCTTTCTATGTTATTAAAGTAAACTTCCTGTGTATTGGTATCCAAACCAGAGGAGTCACTAGAACAGAAAAAAAAAAAAGTGAACTCTCTTATACCTTCGATATCCAAGCCAAAAGGATATTTTGGATACAATGTTACTGTTGGATCTCTGTATAAGAATATCAAGT